AAGAGCATTTTTCTTTTCATCCAAATAATCTATGATGAATCACAAGTAAAATATTTTTACTTGCAATTTACTTAAAATTTTTACTTGCAAGATAACAAGAGAAAATTTAAATAAAATTGGAAGACCTTAAAAAGAATGGCTTTTTATTATATATCCTGAATCATAAGGTTCTGCAGAGCAAGCCACAACTAAGGACAGGCACAGCAACCCGGCTTCAAGAAGGGCTACTTTGCTTTTCATTTATTCTATTAAATTTCCTTATAAAATTTCATTTGAGAAGGTTTCTACTAGCAATACTAAAATGCTGAAAAATCACTACTCTGTATGATACTTGAAATTCACAAAATTGTTAAGTCTAAAGTTTCAAAACACTCTAAATTCCTACTGTTATATAATCAAGGGGAGCACTATTTACACTGAACTAAATTAGAGCTCCTAAAGCTTACAGGGTGACCTACAGTACGTTAATTGACCAACATGTTCCAATTGCAACAGCAATCATTAATAATTCCAACAAGACTATGGATAATGAGTTCACAGATCTGATCACTGGATAAAGGTGCTGTTGTCTACCAGTTTCCTCAGGAATAAAACATTCCATCACTCCATCTTGGAGAGTTCTTTAAGACACAGGATGCTCTAAGGTAAGGTGAAATATTCCATCCTGCAGGGAAGCTCCTTAAGACAGAGAATGTTAAAAGGTAGGTGAAAGGAGAGGATGGTTGAAGGGGAGATGAAACATTCCATCCTAAAGGGAAGGCCCTTAAGCTAAGGAAGTCAACAACTCACTAGCTTCGGTAAATCCCTTAAACTAATCAGATTTATTATACCCCTTCAATCCCAAGTACATATAAACACTAAGGATTTCAGAGATGCTGGTCAGACCAGCTGAGAAGCCTAGAAGAAGCAGGGACTAAGCAAGATGCATAAAAGAGGCTCGGACCAACTGAGCTACCTAGAAAAGATACTCTCCAACCTACTGAGCTGCCTGCAGGTTGTACAGTGCCACTCCAGGTTTCCTGTTTTTGTGAACTGTCACCATGCTGGGGTGGGCATTTGGTGATGCAGCTATCTGAGTCATTTCTGCTCCTGTAAGGAATCCTTCACCCATCTTCCTGTAAGTAACCCAAATAAAACCCATTGGTTCACTAAGCTGGACTTTGGTAGTATCTTTACTTTGGTCTGCTGTTTGCCATCTGGGGTGAGTAGACAGTATATTCATGCATCCCCAAGAATAGTGTCACACAACAGGCACCTACCACCAAACCAGATGACCGAGTTCAATCCCTCAGACCCACATGTTGAAATGAGAAAACTGATTCCTACAAGTTGTCCCCTGACCTCCCCTGTGTTGTGGCATCAATTTACCCATACACATACACCCACACATGTGCACATAATACAAAAATTTTAAAGATATAATCATATTTTAAAATATTTTATTATTTTTATTTTATGTGTATGAGTGTATTGCTTGCATGTGTGTAAGTATACCCGTGCTGTGCAGTGCCCATGGAGGTCAGAATAGGGCATTGGATCTCCCTGGAACTGGACTTAGAGATAGCTGTTAGCCACTATGTGGGTGCTGGGAATCAAACTTGGGTCCTCTGCAAGATCAGCCAATGCTCTTAACCACTGAGCCATCTCTCCAGCAACAGTAAAGGTTTGTTAATTTTCCAAAAAGGGAGTGATGAAATCCAAGAGTGAAGGGATACTGAGATGAGAACTGAAAAAGAACTGAAAAAAGTAAGGTATGTTTAAACCTAAAAAAGAAAAGTCTAGAGATTCGGAAAATACAGCTCACACAATTCAAATAAAGAAAATAAGAGGGTAGAAAAAAGGGAGCACAGAAGAGAGAGACATACAGAGAAAGAAATTTGAAAAAGGGGGAGGGGGCTTAACAAAGACCAAGAGAAAGAGCAAATAAATTCAGAAAGAAATCCAGAGCTGAGAAGGAATGGAGCAGAAATCTAGAAAGGGAGACTATTCCAAACCAAGGGTGCCCCCTTTTCTTTTAACTTTGGAAAAATTATAATGTTCAAGAAAAAGTTAAGATACAATATTATAAGTTAGTATGCACATATTTACTGTCTTCCTGGTTAACCTTGGCTAACGGCCTTTCTGTATCTGTAGGAATGTTTAAGGTGAAGAGAAAGCTAAGAGCAGTGGCAGAGAGGAAGGAAATCAGCTTCTGAGGTATTCAAACAACAGTCAGTCAAGCTCTTGGGTAGAAGCATGATGTTTGCCTATCAAACCAAATCCTGAGCAAGCCATTCTGCCAGTACCTTGCATTCAAATGTTTGACATTATTCCTTCTCTGCATTTAATGTTGTAAGAGTCAAATGTGTTAATATTTGCAAAGCATTAAGATAATGCATGGTGCATAGGGAATTTATGCATGCTTATTAACATAATAAGACAAAATGTTTAGGAAATTTGTAAGGCATTTGCTAATGAATCTTTATGTTATCTAGTGGCTCATGAAACAAATAATTCTGACCTTTAATTTCCTCCCTGGGGTATTATGATGTCTAGCATCTAATTAAAAAAAAATAAGGATATAAAATTCTGTTACAAGAATGCTGTGGACCTAACAGATGCTCTATAATCTTATTTGGGAAGGGACAAGAAAAAGTAGACATTCCAAAATGGACATTATTGGGCAGATTGCTAGGTTAAGAGAGGGGAAAAAAGGTAGTACAAACCAAGTATTTGGCTTTAGAAATAAAAGAACTCAAAAAATACTCATAAAGGTTTACAATTACAAATAGAGACATCACTTAAACATGAAAATAAAAACAGGAAAACAAAATGAAAAACAAGTATTAGTAATGGATCAATGTGAGGTTAAGGTTATATTGTTGTAATTACGGTTGTTATATTTGCTATGACACAATAATTACAGATCTGTAGACATGAGCATTACAAACCTGGATTAAGTATCTTCTTGTCCTATAGGTTTGGGGAGGCAGTGATGACTTACACATAAAATTTAATAAAAATGCATTTTAAGCCAGGTGTGGTGGCATATACCTTTAATCCCAGCACTTGGGAGGAAGAGGCAGGTGAATCTCAAGGCCAGCCTGGTCTACATAGTGAGTTCCAGGACAGCTGGGGCTACAGGGAAACCCTGTCTCAAAAAGACCAAAAAAAAAAAAAAAGTATTTTAAAAGTCATACTAGAAAAGTTATGTACAGTCAAGAGACAACATAGACCTAGTAACATTAGATGCTTATATATATGAAGTCTGAAGTTCAAAATGGCAAGTTAAGAATGCTGACTGCTCTTGCAAATGACCCAGGTGACCCAGGTTTGATTCCCAGTACCCACATGGTGAGTATGAACCATCCTTAACTCCGGCTCCAGGAGAATCGGACACCCTCTTCTGATCTCCGAGGCAATGCACAACACAGGTGCACTCACGCACATGCAGGCAATACACTCATACACATAAAATAAAAACAATATTTTTTTAATAAAAATAAGGTGATTTCGTTGTTAATTGCTTTGCCCCTTTACCTCAAATCCGAAGGAAAAAACAAAAACCAAAAAAAAGTAAGGAAAGCCAAGTGTGGTGGAGCAGGACTTTAATCCCAGTATTTGGGAGGCAGAGGCAGGTAGAGCTTTGTGTTACTGCAGCCAGACTGGGGCTACATGAACCTGTTTCAAAAAAATAAGCAAAGATTGAAACTGGGGAGGGGACAGTGACAGGGAGCAAGAAAAAACAAAGGTAAACACAGAAGAAACAAGTTTTCCTGACTTCCAGCTCTAAAGATCAAGAGGGGAGAAAGGGGGTGAGGCTTCATAGAATAAAACCTTAACTTTTGCTCTCACAGAATAAAATGTGACCAGAAACAGTGATTGTAATAGACTCTATTATACTACACATTTTCTAAGTTTTTCCCTGACCAAGCAAAGTCCCTCTACTTCCCTTCTAACCAACTTTCACTTACATAATCACATAATCTCCCTCTCTCTAAATAGATGAGAGATCAGAGGGTTCTATAAACACATAAAAACACAAAAATACTAATAAAAGATATAAATTTGCTTGAGAACTGAAGACAAGTGTTTACTTAAGAGAAGAAAATCCCTTCCCTCTATTTCTGAGGGGGTCAAGGGATAGGGATAGGGTCTTGTTCTATAGCACTGGCTGGCTTGAGATCCTATGTCTCAACCACTCAAGTACTCAGATTACAGGCACATGCCATCACACTGGGCTCAGAAAATTCTTTTTTTGTTGTTGTTTCTTTTTGTTGTTGTTGTTGTTTGGTCTTTTTGAGACAGTGTCTCCCTGTAGCCCCAGCTGGGCCTGGAACTCGCTATGTAGACCAGACTGGCTTTGAGCTCAGAGATCAGCCTTCCTCTGCCTCCCAAGCTCTCGGACTAAAGGCATGCTGCCACCACACCCAAATCAAAAAAATTGGTCTATGCAGGGCTAGGGACAGGATGTGCATGTGTGTGGTGTATGCACACACATGTGCAAGTGCACATGCCCATGCAGGTATGCAGGCCAGAAGAGGGTCTTGGGTATCTTGCTCTATTATATTCCACCTTATTCCTGTGACACAAGGTCTCTGACTGAACCTGAAGCTAGGCTGGCAGGCAGCAAGCCCCAGCAATCTTTCTGTCTCCTCCCTCCACACTGGGGCTGCAAGTACACACAACAACGCCAAGTTTTTTGCACGGGTTCTGGGGGTTTGAACTACGGTCCTCATGCTTATGCAGCAAGTACTCTTACCTGCTGAACCAATAAAATTCTTGAACATCCATTCTTTTATCTTTTCATTAACATTTTCCTGTTATAACCAATGATGTCCTAAAACTGGTACCCTATGACCAATATCCTATGACCAGGGTTCAGAAGCATTGTGTGCTGTGCTTTAAATTCTTCCACTCCATTAGCAAAACTATTTGGTAGAGGTAGGGAGGGGTTAATTCTAGAAGAATCACAAATTATCTATCTTAACATTCAGTACATACTTTTCTGTAAAACCTACCTTCTCACCACTTGAGTAGAAGAAATAACGCAATCGAACTATGTTACAGTGATCTAGCTTTCTCATGATCTGGAGCTCTCGGTTCTGCAAAAGAAACACATTATTTTTTTTTTAAAGACTCATTCTGGGTTATATAGGAAGAAGAAAAGAGGGACACAGAGAGAGAGATGGGGTGGGGGGAAGGAAAGGGGAGTAGGACCAGAACTGGCCTATGAATAATTTGCCACTGGTTAGCAATAGGACAAATACAGAAATTAAGGACTGGGTTTCACTTCCAATATCACACAAACATAAAATTCCCTAAAAGATATCAAATATAATTTTGATAGAGCAATTTTCATAAATATTTAGTCACATCAACATTCAGCAAAATATCATATCTGAACTGCACTTAAATACACAACTATGCAATTCTACACATTCTCCCTCAGGTGCTCTTATGACCTGTGCAGTAACACACCAATTCTAAAGGAAGCATTGCTATTTTAAAAATACAGTGCACTTATTCTGTGCCACACTGTTGACTGTTGAAATGGAAATACACAATAACAGAGGTCCTAGTCTGGAAAAACTGAAGTCTATGAGTAAAAGATGAAAAAATATATTTAATTCAGAGTCTAAGCACATGCTAGACAAATGCTTCATTGCTGAATTATATTTACATTCACAGAGAATTTTAAAATATGGAAATTTAGTAAGCATTCTTTTGGGGTTTTATGGGGGGAGTGCTCTTTTTGAGACAGGGTCTACCTATAACCCCAGCTGGCCTGGAACCTGATATGTAGACCAGGCTGGCCTCAAACTCAGAGATCCTCTGCCTCCTGAGTGCTGGGACTAAGGGCATGCCCCTGGCTGTAAGCATCCTTTCTAAAGGAATATAGTGTAAGTATAAGCATAGATGGACTGGAGAGCTGGCTCAGTGGATAACAGCTTGCTATGTAAGCATAAAGACTTGATTTCCAATCCCCAGCACCCACAAAAGCCCAGCATCACCAGGCCTGTGCCTGAAACCTCAGTTATGGGATAGAGGCAGATAGATCCTGGGAGCTCCCTGGTCAGCCAGCCAGAACAGTTTCAGGTTCAGCAAGAGACCCTGTCTTAAGCCAATAAAGTGGAGAGTGACAAAGACACCCACCATCTTCCTGCAGTCTCTGCATGTGTCCATATACATATGCATATACCATACAACACATACAACACACACACACACACACACACACACACAAATGAGCCAATGGTGGTGTATGCCTTTAATCCGCCTCTAATCCCAGCACTCCTGAGGTGGAGAGACAGGAGGATCTTTGTGAGATTGAAGCCAGCCTAGTCAACATAGTGAGTTCAAGGCCACCTGGAGTTACAGGAAGACTTTGTCTCAAAACACACACAGACACACACACACACACACACACACACAAATGATGTTTAAGTCCTCTTCCTTGCTTTACTTAGATATTCTTTATGATCCTAAAAGTACTATGTATAATTATCTATCACTGTGCTATTCTGGAATTTAGTAGCTCTGTCACCTTCATTAATTAATCTGGAAAAAGCATGCACATTAAGTGTGCATGTTACAGTCAAATTCACTAGATATAGAAAATAGATATAGATCAAGATATCAGAGAGGACCTTGTAAGGAGGGAAGAGCTATGCACGCACCTGAATGGAGTATGAGAATCATTCTGTAATGATTAACACTGATCATCAAATTGACAGGATCCAGACTCACATAGGTTGCATGCCTCTACGGCAAGCCTGCAAGGAATTATCTCGATTAGGTAAACTGACGTGGGAAGACACGCCCTAAAAGTTGGCACCATTCTCTTATGCTTGGATCCTGGATGCATAAAAAGGAAAAGGCTAAGCACTAACATTCACCATTCTTTGCTTCCTGGCTATGAATGAAATATGATGAGCCCCTTCCACCAGGGTTTCCCTGCCATGAGAGATTATACCCTTGAACTGTGAACCAAAATGAACTCTTTCTTCCTGAAGTTACTTTAATCAGGGTATTTTATCACAGCAATAGCAAGAATGGCTTCCCATTTTTCAAATATATAGGAGACAGGCTTGGGGCATTCTAGAAATAACCAGAAGGGTAATATGGCTGCGTCATTCTGATTAAGGGGAGAAAATTAGAAGTTCAGAGAAGTGGGCAGGAGTTAAAATCGAATAAAGCTTCATCAACCATGATAAGAAACTCAATTTCACTCTAAATGTAAATGGAAGTCAATGGAGAGTTTGGCAAACGAAGATATGATCTGGCTTACTATTCCAAAAAAGCATTCTAAAACTGAACAGAATTAAGCTTGAAAAAAGGGGACAGAAGAAATGTAGGAGAAAGGCATAGATAAAATAGTTGTAAATGAAGGTTATCTTAGAGCCAAGAAAGAGTTTTACTTTAAAAAAAACAAATGAGGTGGCACAAGCCTTTAATCCTAGCACTAGGAGTCCTAGCACTCAGGTCTACAAAGTGAGTTCCAGGCCAGCTGGAGCTACAAGGAGACCCTATATTCAAACAAAAATAACAAGAAACAAAACAAACACCCAGAAAATTGACATTGGTTTCAGTACAATAATGATGTCTAATCTAAGAGGTTAGATTAAATTATATTTAAGAGACACAGCATATTAAAGATTAGAAGTTTTAATAGAGAAGTTTCCAGCAATAGAGAATGAGGATACCAGGAAACCTACTCTCCCCAAACACCTGTTAAGACTGGAGTATATACAGAAAACAACTACTTCAGTGCTCTAGATATTGATCAAAGGAAACACAAAATTGAGGAACAGTTAGTGAGAAAGAGCTGCTAGGACAGCCAGGATACAGGAGTCAAGAGGCCTTCTCACCAGAGGGTACTATCATTCCCCCAATATACCTAACCCAGTCAGTAAGGTAGTTTTAACAAGGCACAGTAGACCATGAAGAATGCACCTAACTCAGTCAATATGGCAGTTTTACCAGGGCACTGGAGACCATGAAAACCAGGAATTCTGCTTTCAGGAGATACCATCACTTACAACGAAGCAAAAGTCATGCCCTGTGGTACTGGTGGTAAAAATAGCAACTAAGATAAGAAAGGAAGGGAAGAAGAACCCACAACTCTGCTATACTTAGACTGCAGCCTTGCCTGGGGAAAATAACAGACTGGAAGGACATCTAAAAATTAACAGTGAGGCATAAGGGGCTTAAATAAATTCCCTACTCATCCTTGGATAACTGAGGGAGAGTCTGTGCACAAATGCAGGGGAGACTCAAGGTAATCTCAGGTAAGTAAAAGCAACTTGAGATCTGAATTTTAATGTGCTTTCCAATTCACACATTGCATAAGCACTGAAATAGTACAGAAACCTTGTAACTGAAAAGTGATCATGATCATTCATACATAACTGAGCCAAGGAAGCCAGAGTGAAACTAGAACTTAGTTCCAGGTCAGCTGGGACAACAAGGTGAGCCTGTCTGAAAAAAAAGAACCCACCCGCAAAAGTTGTAAGACATACAAAACAGGAAAAGTTGCCATTTGAGTTTTAAAAAGCAGTTACTAGAAACTGATTCTGTATAGACAGAGATTATATTTAGCAAAGAACACAAAGCAGCTACTATAATTATAATGTATAAATGTATTAATTTCCTTTAATTTCATTAAAAGACATAAAATGTAAGCAGTAACAGTGTATTGTGTGGTTTATAGCATAAATAAGTATAGTACATATAACAGTAATAGCATAAAGGAAGGGAAATTAAGCTACATTTTACTGGAATTAAGTTCTGTTAACCTAAAGTAGACCCTGACAAATTGAAATGCCAATTATAAACCCTAGAGCAACCATCTCTACTTGATGGAATTTATATTCACCTAAGAGAAACACCTCTGGGTATGTCTGTAAGGGAGTTTCTAGAGAGGTATTTAACCAAAGTAGGAAGGCCCACACTGAAGGTGGGCAGCCCCATTCCACAGGCTGGGATCCTAGACTGCCTAAAAAGTACTAATCAAGGGAAGCACAAGCACACAACTCTGCTTCTTGACACAACATGCCCACTTGCCTCATACTTCCACCACAGCTAGAATAGCTCTGGTCACCATGCCTTCCCTACCATGAAAAGGGTATAGGAGAGAGGAGGGAAGGGGAGCAAAATCTTACAGATAAGGATTTTTTTTTTCAAAAAAACTTTTAATTATTTTAATGTATACAAAGCTACAGTGTATAATTTGTCTGACTATAAGATTATTGTTAAAAATCAGATATCAGGCTGGGGTATATATAATTCACTAATACAGCAAATGCTTATGAGCAAGATCCCAGGTTCAATCCCATCCCCTTGTATTCCATCATCAGAAATCCCTTTCTACAGAATGATCTGTCTATGAAGGCAAAGTTTCCAATTTAGAAAAAGGGGAGAAAAAAAGTAGATTAGATATTAATTAATCTCATCTTACTAAATTAAAAAAAAATAAAAATTTTAAGACCTAGCTACCCAGGATAAAAATAAACATAATAATATGAGAAAACTGAAGAATACCACTTAAAGCAAAAATTATTTTTGTGTTTTAATCAATAACCACTAAAATATATCCATCTTTAAAAGGACTGTTACGTTTAGATATGATGTATTCTTTACAAGACTCATGTGTTGGAATCTTGGTCCCCAGCAGGTGAACCCAGTCATGAAGAAGTGACTGAATCCTGAGGACTCTGACCTAATCAATGGACTAATCCCTAACTAATTCATCATACAACAGTACTACTGGGAGGTACTAGCTGAAGAAAGTAGGTCACTGGGGATATGCCCCAAAAGATGTACTTCTCCCCTGCCCCTTCCTTTTTTTTTCTCCTCACTGCTTCCAGGCCACCATGGTGTGAGCAGCCCTGCTCTATCAAACCTTTTCTTGTGATACTCTGTCTGACCACAGGCCCAGAAATGATAGAATCAGTTAACCATGAACTGAACTCTCTAAAACCATGAGTCAAAATTAAGACTTTAGGCAGGCAAGACAGTACACACCTTTGGTTCCAGCATTCAAGAGGCAGAGGCAGATGGAGGTCAGTGAGTTCTAGGCCAGCTGGCATTACAAGGGCAACCC